CGTTCCGCGCGGCTGCAGCCGCGAACTTGGCTCCTGCTCCTGCTGCTCTTCAGCAGGTACGTAAGCCCCTCTGGGGGCTTGCTCTTGGGGTCTGGGGTCTGCGGGTCCTCCTTTCTCTCCCTCGAGAGCCTGTGGGGGCACTTCGCCACCACACCGGCCAATCTCTGCTCTAAGAGGAGCAGACCCCTTAGTGCCCGGGGACAGCCTCCCAAAGGGGCTTCCCTGCCTAAGCCTGGTCCCACAGCAGTTCTGCCTCCTGCTTTTTCTGGACACTTGTTGTGTTGGATGCTGGGTGTGGGGTATACTTAGGGCTACACAAGCATTGCATTTCCCACCCACTTTGCAAAGCCACCCAAAGAGGCTGCCCCCTGAAAAAAAAAATCCTATTTTTTTGCACAGGGAACAATTTTGTTTTGGCGCTTTTTTGAATGGGGCTTTTCACTTCCTTTTCCAGCCCATGGGGGTTTTCATACACTTTCCAGGCCATCACCAGACTGTCTGGGTTGGTTTTTTTAACACCAAAATGATGCTGGGGGGGCGGGGGGGGGGGGTTCCTGCCCCCTGAGGGCCTATAAATTTGGGGAGCAGTGATCAGGGTGCATATGTAATATCAATGGGAGAGTTTTGATGCAGTTGAGAGATGGCAGCACACCAGAGGCAGAAGGACTCAGCCCAGAGGAAGACTTGCCTCTGAGTGGCACAGGAATGCAAATGCAGCGGTTCGATAAGAGTACAGCCTGCTGCTTGCTGCTGAAGTTGGGTGCAGTGCAGCATTAGAGTGCAGAATGCGAGCTGCTTAGCGACACTTGTCAAAAGAGGACACTGCAACGTGTTCCACAACTGGCACATTTACACGTTGTTAAGTGACACCCAACACTTGGCTGTGTCCTGAGGGTGGGGGGGTTGCATTGTTTACTTCAGTTTGGATGTAAATAGGGTTGGTGGATTTAATTGCCATGAAGGAAGGTGCAAGGTATTGTATAGCATGAAGCCCCGCAATTGTAGCTCAAGGGGAGGGCTACCCCCATTTCAGGGTAGGAGGCACTGCATGGTGGTTTTCCAATACAAATTCTTGTGCTCTTAACTCCACCTCCCCCACCCACCTTCCTTCCCTCCCTCCTATTTTTAGCTCTCGATTGCTACGCTTCATGCTGCTTCCACCAGTCGCAACAGGCAGAAAAGAAGAACGCACTCATGAAGCCTGAGACGGAAGCCTGAAGCCACTTCCATCTCAAGTGACAATGCTGGCAGTGTCACTACCAGGTGCCTATTCTCTGCTCTTAATATCCTTAGATTCATATTCATAATACTGAAAAAGCATATGGGAATTCACCATTAGCACTGTATGTACAGAATTTCAGTCTCTTTCTGCCGTGACTTAGACAAGTCCTCTTGTTGTGCGACTATATCAGCAACTAAACATGTACTTCAAATAATGATTTTAAAATTGAAAAGTTAATATTTCAGTTTAATATATGAACATGCCAGTATTTACCAATAAATACTATTTTTTTTTGTCTCTGTTTAGGTTAAGAACAGTATGTTGTGTTTGTTTGCCTTACTTCCAGGTTTGCCTGCTGCTCAGCTGCCTGGCCTACAGTGTGCAAGATTTAAAAATGCAGAAAGATTACAAATGTTCAGGTAGTCCAAGCAGCTACTTACTGAAATATGCTTCATTAACTCTTTTCAAAGATGATGTATGCAATATTCCTTTTTTATTTTTTGCTTATATGTCCAAAATTTTTTAGTTCACTGTGTTTCGCTACTTGAGCCCAGTGTACTCTCCCATCCAGATACAAAGGAGCACAGTCATTTCTGGGTGCTAGGCGAGAAATGAAATGACTGACTTTTGTGCAAGCTGTTCACTTTGTCCATCAGGAACAGCAAAATAATTAGAATGAAGTTTTGGTATTAGGGCACTGTATTTTCCTAATGATAATAATCAAAATATCTCATGTGTCTGCCTTTTTTGTCTGTCTTACTTCTTCTGGTGGCTGCCCAAAGATCTGAGGAGCTGGACCCCAGACTGGACCAGGTGCCTATTTCCTAATAATTGTGCTCTCTTGTATCTTGTGAAGACAATGATCCCAAGTAATTCTGTCTATGGTAATGATTAAATTAATAATTATACTAGTAATAATTGTAAAGGATACTAATAGGGCTGTGTGACGCTTCACTGCCTGTTTCATTTTGACACTGTTTTGACTCATTTTGAGCTCAAAACGGTGAAATCAAAATGAAATTAAGGGCTTTGAAACAGCCTTGAAATGAGGCCTGGCTCTCCCTGCTTCCCGCCACCAGACTGCACTCTGATCGACTCTGCCAGCCCCATGGAGCCCAGCCTGGTGGCGGGAGACAGGCAGAGCTGAAGCTGCACTCCGGCTCGGTTCCATGGGGCTGCGAGCTGCTGGGAGCTGAGCCCGGTGGAGGGAGGCAGAGGGCAGCCCTGGCACTGCACTCTGATTCACCTCACCAGGCTCAGTTCCATGGGGCTGAGCCACTGGGAGCTGATTTTCCCCAGGTCCCACAGCAGAGCCAACCTGAGGAGGGTGTAGGGCCTGGGGCAAATCAGCTCATGCGGGTATGATTAGTCCTGCAGCACCAGCCTCCTGTCATCAAGCAGGCAGATCGGGGTCTCCCCTGCACCCCTGGAAGGGCTGTGGGGGCTGTGCCAGAATGCTCCTGGTGGGGTGGCCCCTGATCTGCCTGCCAGATGACAGGAGGCTGGTGCTGCCAGCTGGGCAGCAGCAATCTTCTCAGAGCTGGGTGCAGGTTCCCAGCTGGCAGCACCAGCCTCCTGTGATCTGGGAGGCAGATCAGGGACCCACACCCTCAGAAGCAGTCCGGCACAGCCCCCACAGCCCTCCCGGGGGTGCGGGCAAGCCCCTGATCTTCCTGCTGGATAGCAGGTGCTGCTGGCTGGACACAGCCTGTTCCAAGAAGATTGGTACTGCTGCTGGCCCCAGCTGGCAGCACCAGCCTCCTGTCATCTGGCAGGCAGATCGGGAGCTTGCCCGCACCCCCAGGAGGGCTGCAGGGGCTGTACCAGACTGCTCCTGGGGGCGTGGGCCCCTGATCTACCTGCCGGATGACAGGAGGCTGGTGCTGCTGGCTGAGGCCAGTAGCAGCACAGATCTTCCTGGCACTGGCTGTGGAATAGCTTATGGGTAAAAAGGCAAAACAGCATTGAAACAGAGAAAGAGTTTCAATTAAACGAAACAGAACAGTGCTTTCAAAATGAAACTAAACTCGAAACAAAACACTGTTCCGTCAAAACGTCAAAATGGAAGTCAAAGCGGAACGATGCTTTTTGCATAGCCCTAGATAATAACAATACTCGACCCAGAAAGTCATTTTAGTATTGATTGCACATAAATACATACATACATACTAGGGCTGTGTGAAGCTTCGGCCCCTGATTTGATTCGCCCAGTTCATTGGCCGAATCTCAGAATCCAAATCGAATAAGAGGACCCTTTAATCTCTCGGAATTGAATCGGAACCATCTGAATCTATTTGGAGAGATTTGAAAAGATTCGGAGATTTGGAAATAGACACAGCTTTAAATGTGTTTTCTACATACTTCTTGGTAGCAGGGGCTTGTGAGTGCTGCGATGCTGGGGCGCATGGAGTGTCCCACAGAAGCATGGGAGGCTCCTCAGTGTGCTCAGCAGCAGACCCAGAAGTGGACCAGAAGCACTTCCAGTCCACATCTGGGTCCGCTGGGGAGCACCCAGGGGGACCCCCTGCACCCCCTGGCTCAGTGACTGGTGCCTCCTGGGTCTGGGGAGGATACCCAGGGTCCCCCCACAGCCGATCGCCGAGCCAGGGAGGCACGGGAGGGCCCCCCAGAGTGCTCCCTGGCAGACCTGGAAGTGGACCAGAAATACTTCCGGTCCACTTCTGGATTCTCCGCCAAGCATGTGGAGGGCCCCCCTGCACTCCTGTGGGACACTCCATGCACCCCAGCATCGCAGTGATCATGAGCCATGCCAGCTAACTCAAGGTATGTAGAAAGAAACTTTTAAAGTTGTGTCTATGTCCGAATCACTGATTCTCCGAATCAGCATTGAATCTTCAGATTCAGCCAGATCAAATCAGGGACAGTGATCTGAATCAACGCATTGAATCACTGTTCCTGATTTGGGTTGAATCCGAATTCAAATTGAATAGGGCCCGCTTCACACACGCCTAATACATAAATCCATTAATTGTAAATAAATAAATACGTAACGAATATATAATAAATACATAATAAATAAAATAAATACAGAAATACAGAAATGAATACATCAATAAATAAATAAATACGTAAATCTGGGTGCTCTTATCACCCTCGGTGGGCCTGGGTCAAAGACCCTCTGTCTGGTCCCATGGCTGCTGGTTTTAGCACCTTCAGGGGTGCTCGGGCCGGGCAAAGGTCTGCCCTCCCCCTTCTTCCCTGCTTGTCACAGAGCACTTAGGTGCCCAGGGAATAAGGAGCCCAGCTGTGGGTTGCTGGGGCAACCAGGGAAGGTCAGCTGACCGGAAGGGGCAGGGCCTGGCCCTTATAAAGCACAGGGGCTAAGGCCAGGCTGGCCGTTCCCTGCCAGCTGCTGAGGAGGAAGGAGCTCTTTGCTATGGGAGAAAGGGGAAGCCTGATACAGGAGTAGCACCTAACATTGCTGAGAGCTAAAGAGTCACCGGTAGGATTGAATGTTGTTATGGCCGGGCGACTTCAGTTTGAGTTATAGCCTAAGGGCTTGCATTTGTGTTGCTGTTTATCACCGGTGGTTTGGGTGAGGCTATTAGGGGTTGGAGGAGGCCTCATGGGGGACCCACCGTGGTGTGGGGGCCCCAGCGCCAGTAAGGGCACAGCATTTGGGGTGCATAGACCCCAGCCCCAGAGAGGGGCGGGTGACAGGCCCCAGAGAAGTGGGAAGGGGGTAGCACTGCAGAGAAGGCCCTAGAGACAGGGCGGCACTATAGAAGAGCCCCAGAGGAGGGCGGCGTTCCAGAGAAGGCCCTGCGAGAGGGCAGCGTTCCAGAGAAGAACACCAGAGAGAGGGACAGAATAACGTCCAGTACAGCTGCGAGGCTTGGGGTGTGGTATAAGGGGTGATAGGACCCACGCATAGCCCCTAAGGCTAGGGCGCCCCGGAAGCACCCATTTGTAGAGCAGGACCCACGAGGGGCCCGGGAGTCCACAGGCAGAGACTACAACCAGAAGTGACCAAGAGGGCAGCCTCCCTAACGTATTTTAACGTCAAAGATGTGGTGGGCGAGAAACCGAGGATGCCCTTGGGCCAACTTGGCATGGGAAGGGGCCTTAAGGAGATCATAGCCCTCCTATAGGACCCCGCCTGTGACACTGCTGCCTCTTAGCACCCAGCTCTTCCACTAGTATGTACCCCAACTAAAGGCAGCAGACTTAAGTCATTTTCTTGCACCTTCCAGTTGACTTAGATAAGTTCTACTAGTGTACCATCGGTTTCAGCTAAAAAGCAATTCTTGGTCTGCACACTTCCACAGGGGGAAGGAGCATTGGAGCTAGCAGTCATTTTCTCTGAATTTCCTTTACTGCAAGAAGTTCTTTCCTCAGGTCTGAAACCAGGTAAATCTGGCTGCTCTTACCACTGTCAGTGGGACTTGGTCAAAGGCCCTCAAGGTCCTTCCTCCCTCCCTCCCTCTTGCCCCATGGCTGAGGGCTCGGCTCTTAGCACCCTGGGTGGTGTGTGAAGCACCTCCTTCATGGTTACGGGCAGTGTCCCATCCAATGAACAAGACCTCAACACTGGAAGATTTGCTCACTTTGAATGCAGATCCAGATGGTACTGCAATGTTCAGACTGTCATTACAGCCTGGACTGCAGTGCTCCCAGTGGAGGCCTTGGGTAAAGGACCTCCCTCACTCCCTCAAATAGGCAATCAAATAATAAGTAAAACAAGCAATCAAACAATCAATGAAATTATCAAAAAAATCAATCCAAAAAGAAGTCAAATATTCAATTACAAAATCAAATAATCTAACAATCAAGCTAATAATTAATCTAATAATCAGAAATAAAAAATAATTAAAAAAAATCAAAAATCAAGTAAGCAATAAATCAAATAATCAATCTAATTAATCAATAATCGTGGATTTCACCTAAAAAGCCATACTTGGTCTGCACACTTCCAGAGGGGGGAAGAAGTTTTGGAGTGAGCTGTCATTTTTTCTGAATTTCCTGCACTGCAAGAAGTGCTTTCCTCAGGTCTCCAACCTGGTAAATCTGTACACTGCAGCATGTGCGCCTTTAAAAATAATTTTTGCTACAGTGCAGTTTTTCCAAGAACATGAAGGGTCTTTCTTCCCTCCCTGTTCACTGCTGCTGCATGGTGGATAAAATTATCAAATAAGCCATCAATCAATCAAATAATCAAACAATCAATCAAATTATCAAAAATCAAATACATTTTCAATTACAAAATCAATCAAATAATCTAATAATCAGAAATAAATTAAAATCAATAAAAATCAAATACTCAAGCAAATAAATCTAATAAACAATCAAGTAATCAATCAAATAATGAATCAAACAATCTGTGACATCTCTAGCGGATGCTGTGAGTACAGCACCGCCCCCTTGGTCGGGGTCCCCCAACTTACCTGCCATGACTTGT